AACTATAGTCATCCTACTGTACTGCAGAACAATAGAACTTATTCCTCCTATCTAAGTGTATCTTGATACCTGTTTTCTATTCTCCCTCTCTCCTCCCTCTCCTGTACCCCTCCTAACCTCTATGGCCATTATTCTTGATATTTATTCTTGTCCTATACTCTTAACAGTATAAGAAGAATGACAAGAAGAAAACACATTATCTCAAGTTTTAAAACATGAACAAACAGCTCTGATTTCCAAAAGAAATATAATCTTTTGTACACTGAATATACTTATAAGACATACTATTAAACATCCAATAAGTCCTATAAGGCTTTTGTAAGATCACAAAGCTATGTGAATCACAGAGTCCTCCAACACCTCTATTTTCCCTTATGTATAATGCTCAATACCAACACTATAGGGGAGCCCAGTGAAGAAGAATCAGAACAGGTATTAGAGAAGGCTTGAAGAGATAAGACTTCCTGGTGTCTTCTTTAGACACAGGTTAACATTAGGAACACTGGGAGAGAGTCCCAGGTAGATACAAAGAAAAACCTACCAGAAGCTGCCAAAATAATTACGGGTTGAATATTTCTGTAAGTCACATTCAGAGTTGGCAAAGAACAAAACATTAAATCCAAAATGAAAAGAAAGGAAGCAAAATACAATCCGGTATACAGAATGAACTAAAGAAAGTGGTACCAAGCTAGTGCTGTTACCTGCTAAAAATGTACTTGAGGTACACAGTGCAGAACACAGAGCCATATGTGGTTCTAAACAAATGTAATGCCACTTTGCTGGTGTCATATACATGGGAGATAGGACAACAAACATCTATTGCCTAACTAACTATGGGTCACTAATCTCCTCTTAAGGAAGTTTTGTCAATCTCAGATTTTCTCTAACTGTTCACAATCATGTTACACAGGTGGGCCAATTATTGGCTAAGGGTTCAAAATCTGATTTGATAATAGCCTTAAAAGGGTTATAAATTAAAATTCAGAAAAAAGTTCCCATTTAGGACTGGAATACACATCATCTCTTCATTAACTCAGTAGAATCTGTGATTAACATTCACTACCCCTGATTTCACTCAGATGTGGCTGGATCCTACACAACCACACAGGTAAGAAATAGCTCAACAAGAAAAGAACAAAGTCAAGCGTATATTAGTGTACATAAGCCAGGAAGTCACATGCTTTGATTCTCGCTTAGGCAGGCTGGATGATTTACATCAAAATGTGGCAGAAATGACATTACTCACAGTATCAGAAGGGCAGGAAATACCATTTTTTTAAATCTAAAACCACATGAATGTACTAACTGCTATTTCCATTAAAAAAAATCACTAATTTAGGAAAGAGAATTCTCATTTATTATTGCAATAAAAAACGTTAAGAAAACCTCTGAATCTTTAAATCAATGTGCTTAAAGTTTTCAAGACTTTGATGAGAGTTCACCCATGATGCTCATTTCAGAACTTTCCTCAGAATATTCAAAGATACTGGCTCCAAGAATGTAAAAAGCACAGAACATTTACTGAGCACTGCTTGATGTGAGGTTGTACCTTGTGCAAACTCAGTTTGATGATGTCCGGTAAGAAAACTAAAAGGATTATTAATAACTGCTGATAGCATTTCTAGATATGAGAAAACTCTATTTATTCTTTCACACATTGATTTATTGCCTCGATTTGGGACAACTATTGTGTCATTTTAAGATCAAGTGGTACTCATAAGGCCAGACCCTCTTCAGATTACTTACCTTTATAGTCTTCTCATAGCCCTAAGACAGTTAACTGTCTTAAACATAATGGGAAATGTATACCAGGTGACAGACTAAGGATGAAAACTCACATTGGGGAAGCAGATCCATCAAACCATAGGATCGGTAAGCAGTAATAAAACTACATTTTTAAAATCACCTTTTAACACTAATATGGTGTTACCAATAGATATTAATCATTTGTATTCCTATTAATTAGCACTATTAAAAATAATTTCTATTAATACCACATAGAATTAATAATAGTAACACATACTTTACATATAGCTCATCTCTTTCAAACAAGCCAAATATTTTCTCTCACAAGATCATATAGTAGGAGTCTTATAATAAGCCAAGTTGTCATTCAAACACAACATTTAGATAACCACACTATGAGTGATAAAATTCTACAATAAATGTCAGGTGACCACCAAAACAGAAGCAAAAAGACTGCATTGAAATTCCTAATCTTCCCTATTTACTTAGTCTCACTAGTAGCCTAAAATTGTAGTATCATCTCCTCCATGAATTGGAGCCAATTGCCCTTCTTTCTACAAGAAATGACAAACCCACATGAACTATGAACACACTCTATATAATCTCATCAACTAAGTGAAAAGAAGTAGAAATCACTCCACTTAATATATTACAATTCTAATTCATTTCAATCAAATCTACTCCAAGGAACTATTCAAAATCAGAAATCTTACTTTTTCAAAATATTCACTCCTCTCTTTTTGGCTGCTTTGCTTGTAACTAAAGGCTAGTAAAATGATATATGGCCACATCATAAGGAAAAGTGAGGGGGAAAAAACAACACTATCTCCTATTTCTAAGATACTTCTTTTGTCCTTTTCCACCTACATTCTTATTAATATTTCCTATGCTAGCACATGAATGTGGGTAACCACATTTAAAAACTTTATTCTACCATTCATCTACTAGATGTTTTCCTCATTTCTTTCAAAGCTGTCTAAAAATTTATCAACAATGGTAGAACACATTGGCTTCAATTTATAGCAGTGCTTAATAAATATTTATTAAATAAATAAGTAAATGTCAGTGGTCATTCTAGTGCTTGCCAACCTATTCCATTTCACAACATACATGAAAACTAATGTTTATTAAGGATAACAGGGTAAATAAATGAAACATCAGCTGGCAGACTGCCAGCCAGAGACTTCCAGCAGCCTGAGCTGAGACAATCACCTGACTGCTAGAAGGAGAGAGGGAATATCTCAAGCACACATGCCATATTTATAGCAATTCAGTGTTCCCTGATCCATGGATTAAGAAGTACTACTCAACATTTTTTTGTCCACTTTGCACACTCCCACTTCCATTACAGCAAACTATCATTCTTTTAGGGAACCATCCTAACCTCAGTCCACATAAATCTGATGGCCCAGGTAATTTTAGGGCTCTGACACTTATCCTACTTCTATTCCACCTAGGATGGCCAATTAAAGTGCTCATTATCGTATCATGATGGTTGCTTAATGTGGACACATGACCCATCCAAGCAAAGGCAATGGAGTGTTCTCTACATCTCTCTTCTTTTTGGATTGGGAAGATGAGGTTAATAAGGCCTTGGATTCCAGATAATTCACAAAGGAAAGAAAGACACTGTGCCTTGAATGCACTGTCTAGGTCATGACTGGTTTAAATGCCAGAGCTAATAAAAACTGTTTATGGTAGTTTAAGATGGGTTTCTGTTACCTGAAAGCAAAAGTACCACCCTACAATTTCAAAGACCAAGTGCACTGAGGGAGAGAGGGTGAGAGGGTGGAGGGGAGGGGGGTGGGGAGGGGGAGAGAGAGAGAGAGAGAATGTTCATAACAACTTTCTATATCTTTCAACATATCATACTGTATTATTTCAAGGGACCCCTTCTTTAGAATATCTCCAGGTATCACTTATGTATTAACTATCAAAAAGAAATTACCTTATAAGGTATCAACACTGAAAGAAAACATTGGTTAGAAGTAGGGCCATTACTGAAAGTAGAAAAGAGAAGTAAAGTAGGAAGCAAGTTGTTGAAATGATTCATATTATGCATATACTGTGTAAAAAACAAAAGTACTTAGACTACACTACAGATTTGCTTAGAGAATCAAAAGAAGAGGTCTGGTCAAAGGGAAATCTTTTTGAGAGCTATCAGTAGTTGGTTACTGATCATAACTAGGTGAGGGTAAAAAGGAATTCTAAATACAATTAATTAGTTATTATTATTATTATTATTATTATTATTATTATTATTATTATTATTTGTAGTACTGGGGATTGAACCCAGTGCCTCAGGCTTGCTAGCAGGCATTCTACCCTGTAACTTCACATCTTAAACACATTTGTCTCATTCTACCACCAATTTTTTTTCCTCTAGAACACATGATTTTCCACTAAGTGATGACATTTTTCTTAACCATATTTGAAAGGAAACATAAGCACAGATACTGATAAACAGAGGCTCATAAAAAATGCTGTGCCTATTTGGTTAGGAAACCCTTTCATTCACAGGAAATGCATTCTAGAGAGTCTATCTGCCATGTCTGTTTGGGAGTGGGTAGGGAGAAGATCACACAAAATGATGCTAAATAAACAGTTTAAAAGTTGAGGGAAACAGTCTTATTGAGTGCTTTCTTATTATACTCAAGTTATGTGCAGACAGAGATTCTTACATTCCACCATGCAGATAAGGACCACACATAGGAAGGACCGAATATTTTTCAGTTTATTAAATGAAAGAACTAAGATAGGGTCAAATTTCAAGTATTTAAAAATACATTAGTGCTTATTGTATAGGCAGTTTTATTGTGGATTGATTAATCTGGGACTACTTTAAAAGATCAGTATTAGAATTAAGAGAGATACACCTTGGAATAGGTTGTAAGAATTAGCAATTCACTGAAAAATGAAAGAAAAAGAATAGCACCATATGCAGATTTCCTTACAAAGTGTGGCTTTCATTACAGAAATATTATTCTTAAGTTCACATCAACTCAGAGTAAGAAGAAAGAAAAACAAATTAGGAGGATAAAGATAGCAAAAAGAACTGGAGGTGTGGCTCAAGCAGTAGAGTGCCTGTCTCACAAGCACAAGGCCTTAAGTTTAAAACCCAGCACTATAAAAAAAAAAAAAGAACAAGAAGAATTAAACCATAATTTAAAACATTCTTCAAAGTATTAATGACCGATTATAATTCCAATAATTAAACGTTCTTCCCATCCAGTTCCACTGTTTTCTTTTATTACCTGAGAGGAATCTGCCTGGGCTAATTGTGTGGTGACCTTCAGTATTTGGTGAAGATTCTGTCCTTTATCCTCAACAAGGAGGTAAGCCAGCAGAAGAAAAACTTGCATGGGGATCACTGTAGTAACAGGGAGCAAGGACTCGACCGAAGACAGCCAGTCATTTGCTGCAGATTCTTCTCTCATTACTTCCAGAATCCTCCAGGCTGTAATTATTGAGTCACACATGCTAGTTACAGGGAATGGAAGCCTGTAGCAGAGCTGAAAAATAAACACACCAAAAAGAGCATGAATAAAGAGGAATATGAATATATTTGTCAGAAATATATTTCTGGCATTCATTTATTTTTTATTTTTCATTATAAGAAATCATTCCTTCCAACAAAATGAATACAAACTTTGAATTCCTGCCAAAAAGCTCTCTGCCCACATTTGAGGTAACAGGATTACACAAAGAGAAAAACAGTTGTTAGATGGAACTCTAGAACACTTTATTACAAGTTCTGCTCATTTTACCAACTTCATTCCCAATTAAGGTAGAAAAAAAAATCAATATAAAGATACAGAGGCAGCAGTTTTGGGAAAAAAGTTAGTCCAATAAAAAAGTATTCAGCAACGAAGAGACAGAAAACCCAGTGCATTTAACCCCTCCAGGCCCTTAAGCGGCAGCCCAGGGCAGATGGCAGACTTGGACAGAGGACAATTCACATTTGTAACAGACAGTATGTTGATAGGAACAGAGTTGGTTCAGCTGGAGCCTGGGAATTCATTAGTAATTGTGAATAACTTCTGCAGTAAAATGTAGCCTGACAGCTCTAAACTGAAACAATCCCCAGAGAAGATGTTATATTTCAGTAAGCCGGAGAAATGGCTCCTCACAGAGTAGTAGTGCAGTCATGGCAGTAGCCCACTCTCTGGCCTGCATTGTGCTATGTGCAGAAACAGCTCAGGAGAAGCCACAGGCATTAGAAGAGTCGACAGACACTGCCTGCTATTAAAGTAATTCAAATAACAGAGTGTGATGAGACAAATTAGAAATCTCAAGAGTGTAACTATCTAGTAACTAGAGGATGACTTATTTGGATATGATAACAATTGAAAGGATGGAAAATGAAAGTTAACGTTTATTTTAAAACTTTTAGTAGCAGGTTTATTGAGATATAATTCATATACCATACAATGCCCTGATGAGAGTTTATAACTCAGTAGATTTTAAGAATTCATAGAGTTGTATAACTACCACCAGTATCTAATTTTACAACATCTTCATCACCCAAAGGGGAAGCCCTGTACCCATTAACAGTCACTCCTCACATCCCCCTGTGCCCTGTCCTCCACAGACCCTGGAAACTACTAATCAACTTTCTGTTTCCATTCTGGCTATTTTGTATTGTAGTAACTACACAATATTCTTTCAAGGTACAACCATGTCACAGCTTTTATCAGTACTTCCTTTCTACTCCAAATATTATTCCACTGTATGGATATACTATACTTTGTATATCCATTCATCAATGGATATTTGGGTTGTTTCCATTTTGGGCTATTATGACTAATGCTGCTATGAACAACCTATAAAAGTTTTTCTTAGGATGTAAGTGTTCAATTCTCATGAGTATATGCTTAAAACTGGATATGAAATCTATCTGAGAACTTCATGGCCCCCTAAAACTGAATGAGGAATTTCTGTGATGATATAATAAAGATCCTCTGTGTGAAAGTATAAGGTGCAGAAAGTGTCTGGAACGCTATTAACTCTTTTTATAAGAGGGTGGTCAGAAAAGTACTATATATTTGCATTTGATTACATTTAAAGAAATGCATATGGGCAAATACAGAAGAAATGATTAACCATTCATCATCACCTTCCATTTAGAAAGGTGAGACAGAACCACATGAACTGGAGGGATTCCAAGATGGCAGCTAGAGGGAGGAAGCAGAAAGCAAGCCTCCTATAGTGAAATCGTGGAGAGACGGTGGAGACACACTTTGCAGGCATAATCACTGAGAAGAGGCAAAACTTTGACCCCTCCACACCTCCAGCCAGCGCAGAGAATCTCCACTTCACGTTAAACGGAGAAACCAGGAGGGCCCCTGGGCCGCCAGTCGCCGCGCCCAGATGGTTCAGGAAGACGCAGACCAGGTGAGCTTCGCGGTACCGCTACTCCCACAGACAACCCTGGGCCAGAGCAGCATAGCCCCCTGGACAGACTGACCTCCACCCAGGGAAAAAAAGAGAAACTGAGTAATAAGCAATAAGAACAATAAAGACACGTGGGAAAGAGGGTGGGGCACCATGAGCGCTGAAGATTGGGGGAAGGGAATCCTTCCCGGGACTGTAAATAAACAAGCCGGGCAGGCCGGAAAGGCTCTGGTGGGAGCGGGGGCACGCGCCCAGCAACCAGGATCAGGAAAGCTTCTGAGAGTGGTGGACTGAGGAAAACTCCACAGGAGAGGAGGGAAGACCCACTTCCCACGTGAACTGTAAACAAACATGGCAGCTGGCAGAAGCAGCAGCACCGCCCAGTAATCAGGAGCAGGAAAGCCTGTAAAAGTGGCAGTGGGAGGAAAACAGAGGAGAGAGGGGAAGACCCGCTTCCCACATGAACTGTAAATAAACACGCAGCCTGACAACGCAGGGCAGTGTCACCTTTCCCAGTGCTTGGAAAGGGGAAAGCCTGTAGCAGAGGCTCCCGCACAGGAGAACTCTGAGTAAACAAAGCCTGCAGGGCCAGGTGAGTGTTAAGCTAACCCCAGAGATCTGCATAAATAACGCCACCAGCAACAGCACGCTGACAGCAGCGGGCAGACAAGCCACAGCTGCAGATACCATTCTCAGAACTGTCTCCAGACGCTTTTTTTTTTTCTTTTCTCCCTACCCTTATGAGAGAACAACCGAATTACACCTGCCATGCTGAAAAATTACTGAAACTGTATTGCATTTGAACTTGGGACACTTGGTGGGTTTTTATTGTGTGTGTGTGTGTGTGTGTAGTTTTGTTCTACTTTATGCATCCTCTTTGATGAGACAACTACAGAACAACATCTGAGGCACCATCTCCAGGATTGGAGACTGAGACAGACACCCAAATCATTAACACTGAAACTTCACTGCATTTGAACTTGGAGGTTTTTTGGTTTTTTATTTTAATTTTCTATTTTTCACCTTATTTTAATTCATTTTTATAATATAGATATTTCTTTCATTTACTTATTTTACTTTTTCTTATCTTTATTTTTTTTATTTTTTATTTCAATCCTCTCTCTGTCTCTCTAATGTCGTTCAGCTTACTGTCATTAGTACACTAAACGCTCCCTGTTTATACCTTTGAAACTTTCTTGTCTGATACCTTGTTCTGTTTCTCTCTCTTGTCTGTGTATTTGTTTTTCCCCTTTTTTAACTTCTTGCTTTCCATCTCAGTCTCACCCTTTCCATTCTAAATATTACATTGTTATTATTACAAGCTAGAAAATACTTAATTGCACACAGTACAGGACAGTAACAACACCAAAGACAATGACGGGAAGACAGAAAAAACAGGGAAACCAGTTTCCCCACAGCAAAAAATTAGTACAGGAACAGAGGGGAATGAAGAAAACAGAACTCAGATCCAGACTCCAACAAAATGAAGATAAACTATGCCAAAGGACCCAATGAAGCCCACAAGAATAATTTTAAAAGAAGACATACTACAGGTACTCAATGAGAATTTTATAAGATGATACTGGATAGGGTCAACAAAATGTACAGGAGACACTCAAGAAATTCCAAGACAACAAAAATAGAGAATTTGAAAAAAAGCAAAAGAAGAAATAAAGGAAACCATAGAAGCACTGTATAGAAACACCAAAGTGAAGCAGAGAACATGATGAATAAACAGATAAATGAACTCAGGACAAAAATAGACAACATAAAGAGGAAACCACCAGGATATGGAAAACCTCAGAAAAAAGAACGAAACAGAACTGCAAAACAAAACGGAAGGCCAATCCAGCAGAATAGAACAAACAGAAGACAGAATCTCAGAACTTGAAGATGAATGGTAATTAAAGGAAACAACTGAAAGAACTATTAATTAAACAACTCAAGACCTGTGAAAAGAAAATGCAAGAACTCACTGAACTCCATCAAAAGACCAAACTTGAGAATCATGGGCATCGAAGAAGGAGAAGAGGTGCAAGCAAGGGAATGCATAATATATTCAACAAAATAATAACGGAAAATTTCCACAAATCTAGAGAAAGATATTCCCATACAGATGCAAGAGGCCTCCAGGACACCAAAACAGACCAGATCAAAATAGAAACTCCCACGACATATCATCATTAAAACAACAAGTTCAGAAACTAAGGAAAGAATATTGAAGCTGAAAGAGAAAAAACAGTAACATACAAAGGTAAACCCATCAAAATCACAGCAGACTTCTCAACAAGAAACATTAAAAGCAAGAAGAGCGTGGGGTGAATCTTCCGGGCACTGAATGAAAATAACTTCCAACCCAGGATACTCTACCCAGCAAAACTATCATTCAAAATAGATGGAGCAATAAAAGTCTTCCATGATAAGCAGAAACTAAAACAATATGTGACCACAAAAGCCACACTACAAAAGATTCTGCAAGGGATTTCTGCACAACAGAAAGTGAAACCCAATTAACCATTGAAAAGACAGGGCAGCACCAAACCACAGGAAAAGAAAAGCAAGACAGTAGAGAGTAACCTCGATACTTAGGTTCACACAATCAAACCTTCAACAACTAAAGACACTAAATGACGGCCATCACCAACATACCTATCAGTACTAATGCTTAATGTTAACGGACTTAATTCACCATCAAAAGGCACCGCTTGGACGAAAATGGATTAAAAAGGAAGATCCCAACAATTTGTTGCTTACAGGAGACCCCATCTCACTGACAGAAATAAGCATAGGCCTTAGGATGAAAGGCTGGAAGAAGATTTACCAAGCCAATGGCCCCAAAAAACAGGCAGGAGTAGCAATACTTATCTCTGACAAAGTAGACTTCAAACCTACATTGATCAAAGAGATAAAGAAGGACATTCCATACTAATAAAAGGGGAAAAGACCAAAAGGAAATAATAATTATCAACCTGTACGCAACCCAATTTCATCAAACATACCTGAAGACTAAAAGCATATATTAACGCCAACACAGTGGTTTGTGGGAGACTTTAACACCCCATTATCATCAATAGAAGGTCATCCAAACAAAAATCAATAAAGAAATCCAAGATCTAAA